ACCTACCTAAGTTCTTTACTTGAAGCTGATGAAGAGAGCACTTATATTGAGTTACTCAAAGAGTTCAGGGATGTCTTTGCTTGGAGTTACAAAGAGATGCCTGGATTGGACCCGAAAGCAGCAGTCCATCACCTTGCAGTCAAAAATGGTGCTCGTCCTGTTAAACAAGCTCAAAGGCTGTTGGCCCAAGATCAGTTGAAGTTTTGAAGAATGACAAACGAACTTAGTAAAGGACCAGGTTCATCTAAGGAGACACAGTTGTTATGGCCCATACACATGAGATGCACGTGAAGAAGATAAGTCCTTGAGATCAAGCAGCAATATCTTGATGAATATCTTCTGAACTGATCGAAAAGATTGCATATAGGATAAGGAGTTGAAGTCTCCTTATGAAAAGAGAATTACATCCGGATCAAGAATATGGATTAGGAGTTAGAGTTGTTCTTGGACTCGAATTGTCAAAGGATCCACAATTCGAGTTCTTATCAAACTCTGATTACTAACTCTATAAATATAACGATTGTTCTCTTTTACAGGTGATTGCACATAAGCTGAAGTTAAACCAAATTGAGAGGAAAAGAGCTAGGCGATTGTTGCAAGCAATTTGTGTGTGATACAAGTGTGCAAATCTGAAGCTACAAGAACTAAGTGTGAAGAACCAATTCCATTGTGTCTTTCTTTATTTCTATGTTCAATTGTAGTAGGTGTTTTAACATTGTACCTTTCCAGCTTTCTTAGAAGCAATTGTATTAGGTGCATTGAGTATTCAAGTTAGAGTTAACTTGAAAGTGTCGCAACAGTTGAGGCTGTGTGCTACACTGGGATTAGAGTTAATCCTTAGGTTTACAAAGAATTTTGTAAATGTTGTTTTTGGCTCATTGAAGTTTAGTGGAAGTTTGGGAAAATCCTACTGAGTAGTAGGTCGTGGTTTTTTCACCTTTGAGACAGGTGTTTTCCACGTAAAAATCTCTGTGTTCTTTATTTCTGTATTTTAATTTCGCAAACAGTAGAAGTTAGAACACCTAGAAGAACCAGGTTCTTCTAGTGCAAAAATTAGGTACCACACAAATCACCCCCCTCTTGTGTGGTATTGACGTCTAAAACATCAATTGGAATCAGAGCGGGTTATCCTTGAAGAGGCTAACACCTTAGGAGAAGATCAAAAATGAGTGCACCACCTGGGAACTGGGAAGGGCAATCCACTGCCAGACCTCCACTTTTCAATGGTTTGTATTACTCTTGGTGGAAGAACAGAATGAGAGATCATATCATAGGGGAAGACTATGAACTTTGGGATATAATTACTGATGGTCCCCTAGCTACCACTAAGAATAATGCAGAAGGAATTGATGTGCCAAAAACAAGGGCTGATTGTACTGCTGAGGATCTGAAGAAATGGGAGAAAAATGCTAAAGCCAAGAAGTGGCTAGTGTGTGGTCTAGGACCAGATGAGTACAGCAGGATTCAAAGCTGTACAACTGCTAAGGAAATATGGGAACACTCTACAAGTGGCTCTGTGAAGGAATACTTCAAGTGAAAAGTTCAAGAGGAACTCTTCTGTATTCTCAATATGAGAATTTCACTATGAAGGAAAGGAGAAACTATCCAGGAGAATGTATACTAGATTCACTACTCTGACATGAGCTTAAATTTGAAGGACCATCCTTGAAGAAGACAAGGTGAAAAGATTCTGACAAGAGTTTTGCCAGTCACTTTGGAAAGCAAGATCACTCGCATTCAGGAATCCAAGAATATTGCTACCTTAGCTGGATGAACTAATTGGGAACTTTAACTGCCTAGAAATGAGGAGACAAAACAATGAAGATGGGTACCCCAAAAAGGAGAGAAGTTTAGCTCTCATAATCACTGAAGGTGCAGATTTGGTAAGATGATGAAGTAGCCATGATCACTAGGGATTTCAAGAAGTATCTGATGAGAGGAAAGGGTGCTTCAAGAAGTACAAACTTCAACAAAACAAGAGCTCCGGAGAAACAGATCAATGAAGGATGCTACAAGTGTGGTAAGACTGATCACATGATCAAAAACTATCCTCAATGGGAGATTGAGTGGAAGAAAGAAAGAGCTGAAAGAAGAAACAGGAAGAAGGAACAGGTTCAACCAAAAAGAAACAAAGGTTCAACTAAGGCTATGGTTGCTGCTTGGGGAGAAACATCAGATGAGGACTCTGAAGATGAAGCTGAGGAGGATCAAGCTCTAATGGCCATTGGAGAATTAGAGGATGAATAAGAGGTAAGTATTCTTCATCTCAAAGACAAGATCAAATTCTTGTCTAAAGAAAGGCTAGCTGAATTCTTAACAGACTTCATTGATGAGTCTGAGATAATTAATAATGAAAAGGAAGTTCTGTCTAGGGAATGTGTGATTTTAAAAGCTAAATGTAAAAGTCTAGAGTCTAGGGCAAATGAGAGTGATAACAAAAATGCTGAGTTGAAGAACCAGGTTCTTGAACTTGACAACAGTGTCCTAGAACTTAGATCTGAAAATCTGAAACTGAAATTAGAAACAGGAAAGAAGATAGCTGATCACACATATCTTACTCTAGAAGAAAATTTAGGAAAAATGAAGGATGAATTATATAAGAAAGATGAATTCATCAAAATCTTAAAAGAAGATCTAGGAAGGGTAAAACATGAACTAGACAGAACTTGCAAGTGGAACAAAGCATCTGATGCTCTCTCTTGGTTGCAAGAGCATCATAGCAGTAACAAAAGAGGACTTGGATATGGAACTCAAGCTCCTAAATGGGATCCAAAAAGCAAGTACCTCACTCTTCCTGAAAATAAAATCTGCACACTGTGGCAAGACTGGCCATTACAAATATGAATGCAATGAAAAAGAGAAGGCCAGTCAAAGGAACAAGTCTTTTGTTAAAGAAAAGAATAAATTGCCTGAATGGGCAAGAAGGAATTTAATCCATCCTTTTGCCTATAGAAAGGGACCCAAACTGGTTTGGGTTCCTAAGACTAACCCCTGATTTCATTTTGTAGGTTCAAGTGAAAGGGAAGAGCCAAATATGGTATATGGATAGTGGCTGCTCAAAACACATGACTGGGGACAAGGACCAGTTCCTTTCACTTGAGGACTTAAAAGGAGGTAATGTCTCCTTTGGTAATGGAAAGAAAGGTGAGATCATTGGGGTTGGTAAGGTAGGCAAGACTGATTCTCATTCCATAGAGAATGTGTACCTGATAGATGGTTTGAAATATAGCCTAATAAGTGTGTCACAACTGTGTGACAGAGGTAACCTTGTAGCTTTTACCTCCACCAAGTGCTTTGTGATTAATCTCATCACTGACAAATTTGTTTTGCAGGGAAAAAGAGTTAACAATATTTACATTGTAGATTTGTCAAATCTTTCAGAAAATGAACTCACATGCTTAAGCGTGTTGGTTAATGATCCCCTCCTATGGCACAAAAGACTTGGTCATGCTAGTCTGAATCAGCTAAACAAATTAGTCTCCAAGGACTTGGTTGTAGGTTTACCTAACATCAAATTCAAGGAAGACAAAGTCTGTGAGGCATGTGCAAGGGGGAAGCAGGTAAGGACATCCTTTAAAACCAAGAAAATGGTGAGTACGTCCAAGACGTTGGAACTGGTTCATATGGATCTATGTGGTCCAATGATAACCATAAGCAGAGGTGGAAAGAAATATGTAATGGTGCTAGTTGATGATTATTCCAGATTCACCTGGGTTTTATTTCTAACCTCTAAAGATGAAGCATTTGACATGTTCTCTGCATTTGTTAGGAAAACTTAGAAACAATTAGGAAATCAACTTGCATCCATTAGGTCTGATCATGGAACTGAGTTTGAGAACTCTATGTTTGCTGAATTTTGTGATGAAAATGGCATAGATCATAATTTCTCTGCCCCTAGGTTTCCACAACAAAATGGTGTAGTTGAAAGGAAAAATACAACTCTTGAGGATATGGCCAGAACAATGTTATTATCTAGCAAATTACCTCACAGTTTCTGGGCAGAGGCTGTAAACACTGCATGCTACATCATAAATAGATGCATGACCAGACCACTAGTAGAGAAGACTCCCTATGAGGTACTTAAAGGGAGAAAACCAAACATATCCCATCTTAGGGCTTTTGGTTGCAAGTGCTATGTGCACAATAATGGAAAAGACTCTCGGGGAAAGTTTGATCCCAGAATTGATGAGGGAGTATTCTTCAGATATTCTTCACATAGTAAAGCTTATAAAGTTTTTAATAAAAGAACATTGTGTGTAGAAGAGAGTGTGCATGTAGTATTTGATGAAACTAACATTCTTTCTGAGAGACAGGAACAAGAACATGAAGCCATTGGACTAGTCAAAGATCTTGCTGAATCATCAGCTCAGGTCAAAGTGGTACCTGCAGAAGGAACAAGTGATGGAACAGGTTCATCCTTACAGGGCAACCTGACAGGGGGAAGAAATCAAAAGGGAACTGACATAAACCCCTTAAAACAACTTGCTCATGAACCTGTTCCTCATCAAATTGATGAAACATCCAGCAGAAGCCAGTTGGTTGTAAAGCCTCACAAGTATCAAAGTTCTCATCCCATTAAGAACATTCTCACTGATCCAACTTCTGGAGTCAAAACCATATCACAATTAAAGAATCTGTGTGCTTTTGATGCCTTCTTATCTATTATTGAACCTAAAAATATTTCTGAGGCTTTGCAGGATGCAGATTGGGTAAATGCAATGCAGGATGAGCTAAACCAGTTTGAAAGAAGTCAAGTTTGGCACCTAGTTCCTAGACCCAAGGACAGATCAGTCATTGGTACCAAATGGGTCTTTAGGAACAAACTTGATGAAGATGGAACTGTCACAAGGAACAAGGCAAGATTGGTAGTCCAAGGCTATAGCCAAGAGGAAGGGATAGACTATGATGAGACCTTTGCCCCAGTTGCAAGACTAGAGGCAATCAGACTCCTCATTGCCTTTGCAGCACATATGGAATTCACTCTCCATCAGATGGATGTCAAAAGTGCTTTCTTAAATGGCTACCTCAAGGAGGAAGTGTGTGTGAAACAACCTCCAGGATTTGAAAGCAAGGAATGTCCTGAGCATGTGTATAAGCTGGACAAAGCTCTATATGGGCTCAAACAGGCCCCAAGAGCTTGGTATGAACGACTATCAAAATTCCTACTGGAGCATGGGTACAAAAGAGGTAAAATTGACAGCACTTTGTTCCTAAAGGAAAAAGGTAAAGACCTCCTTGTTGTACAAATATATGTTGATGACATAATATTTGGGGCCACTTCTGATAGGTTGAGTAAGGACTTTGCAAAATTAATGGGAAGTGAGTTTGAAATGAGTATGATGGGTGAACTAAATTTCTTCCTAGGCTTGCAGATCAAACAAAGTCCAAATGGAACCATGATTCATCAGCAGAAGTATACAAAAGAACTAATCAAGAAGTTTAAAATGGAAGACTCTAAAGAAATAGATACACCTATTGCAACTGCCACTAAATTAGATGTTGATGAACCTGGTTCATCAGTTGATCAAAAGTTGTATAGGGGTATGATTGGTTCACTCTTGTATCTTACTGCCAGCAGACCTGACATTGTTTTCAGTGTAGGACTTTGTGCCCGTTTTCAAGCTAATCCTAAAGAGTCTCACTTGACTGCTATCAAGAGGATATTGAGATATCTGAAGGGGACTACTGAATTGTGCCTATGGTACCCTAAAGGTAGTAATTTCGATCTAGTAGGTTATGCTGATGCTAACTATGCAGGTTTCCTAGTGGATAGAAAAAGCACCTCAGGTATGGCTCACTTTCTTGGTTCATGTCTTGTATCATGGGCTACCAAGAAACAAAATTCAGTAGCCCTATCTACTGCTGAAGCTGAGTATGTGGCTGCAGCTTCTTGTTGTGCTCAACTACTGTGGATCAAACAACAATTAGTAGACTTTGGTATAGAAGTGGGATGCATACCAATATTCTGTGATAACACTAGTGCTATAAGTATGACAAAGAACCCTGTTCATCATAAAAGGACCAAGCACATAAATGTT